GCCTCACAGGATTCCTTGCGATTTTTCGCACGTACAATTTCACAGCAGGGAAAAGGGGGAAAGAGAGAGCGAGAGAGAGAGAGGAAAAAAAAAAAAGCAAGATTCCCTACCCTCCCTTCCCCCTCTTCTTCTTTTCTCTCTCTCCCTCTCTCTGTTTTTTAAACCAAAAAAAAAAAAAAAAAAAGAGAGACAGAACAGATGCTTAAAAATAGATTTCTAAAAATCACTGTAAACCAGAGTTAGAAATGTAATTAACACCTATTTATAAAGAATAATTAAAGTTGGGTCGGCCACAAAGAACAGCAAAGATAATCGAGGTCCCGTCCTCCCCCCCCTTTTTTACACTGTTTGCAGTGTGTTCTCATGATAGCCACCTGCTCCCTACTCGGCTTTTCCTCTGTTCGTTTCCCCGGCAACCTTTCATTGGGTTTTCCTCCCAGCTATCGCTTTCAGTTGGGCTGCTCGGTCTAATCTTATTTGTTTTACACCCATCAAAACAAGTAGCCAGACAAAGGCAATCCTCTAAGAATGGGAAAAAGACCACAGCTTTGTTATAACATCTATGCAGAGCAAAAAGTCCTCCCCAGGCTTTCCTAGCAAAAAATAAGTGAGATGGATATGAATTTACAGCCTCCCCACATGCCCGGCTTTGAAACCCCGTGAAAGCTATTGCTGGTGAAATTCAAAGTCAAAGTGGGCACTCGTGGCATCTGATTGTGCCATTTTGTGCCATATCTTCAGGGTCAACACCAGGCAACAGGAGCGGCAGTCAAGGAGTTTCCCTGCTTCTTTTTTTTTTCCGAAAAAGATGATGCTAAAAATAGATTTACTACTTTGGCAGAAAGGTTTTCCACTTCCCCTTCCACATCCCGAAGTCCTGTTTCACAATTGCATCTGCTGGTACTGAACCTCACCTCCTCCACCCCTCATACCCAGCCTTCCCCAACACTCCTAGCAGGAGACTGAAAAAGAAATGTGCCTTTAACTTTAACAGTCATGTAATTCTGTTGAAAGCTCACAGAGGCGGTGGACACGCCAGCCAACAGCGACGGTGACATTGTGATTGTCAAAAAAGACACCAACCTTGCTTGGCTAAATGTGTGTTCGATGGAAGAGGCAGTGTGTGTGCCTTGTGTGCATGCAGTGCCATTACACTTGGAGATGGATTCTGGCTTTCAGAAGAGAGAAATACTAATAAACACACACATACACACACACATGATCTGCACAGTGATTTACGATGCACAGTCCATCATCCTTCACACACACACACACACACACACACACACACACACACACACACACGGCTGGAATCTCCAAGCTGCCTTCCTCTGAATTTTCACTTACCATCTTCAAGCCATTCCACTCCATCTGTGATCAGAAGAAGATGGACCCTCACACAGTGTGTCAAAAGCGGAAAGGAACGTTATGTAAAAGCTGACATTCCTTCTTACAGAGCTGCTGCCCAGAGAAGGAAGCAACAACTCAACACGCCAGGCACCGCTACACATACAAGCCGCCTCCTCTTTTTTATGAGGTCATGACAGGAAACTCTTTGAAATACAAGATGCAGCATTTACTGAAGCCCAAATAAATCACTCTCTTTGCCGTTTTGACTGCGCAGTCCCCCGAAACACAACTGCCCATCTCAACGTTCAGTATCCAGGAACTGCTTCTCAAGCTTTAAATTTCCAGCACGGAAATGGAGATTCCTAACCCCGCTGCATCCACCTCCAGCCCCACGAAACCCAGGCACATAGACAAACCCCCTCTCCCTTACAAAACAAAACAAAACAAAACAAAACAAAAAAACAAAAAACAAAAAACAAAACCTTTTCTGCCAATATGGTCTCATGTAATATAACCTCTTTCAACAAACCAGCAATTATTTCAGCTCACCTCCCCTCTCTACCACCCCCTCCTTTATGTTGAAGGGAAAACTGACAATGACCTGTTAAAAATGACAATCTATTTTCCCACTGCTTTTCAATAAAAGGACCTACCGGCACTCTCTACACAAAAGAGATAGTAAATATAGGAACCAAACAGCAGCAGAGAATTAAACTCTTGTGCAAGCATAAGACTGGTCAAGGTGTAGATGCTTTTCTTCCCTCCAGCAACACAAACAACAGATTATAAATCTAGTCATACCTACCATAACCATTCTTATTGGCAAATATTGGGTCTCGCAGAGCTTCGACTCTTCTCTTAAAATTTGCAAAGCTTTCAGGATATATTTTTTAAATGACTACTATTGTTATATATATTTAAGGATCCACAAAACACAGTGTGGATGATTGTAAAGTAAATCAATTATTTAGGGGGAGGGGACGGGGGGGGGGAGAGAAAGAAAAAAAAAAAGAAAGAAAAGGAGCAGTGAGCTGAAACCCCCGATTCTAGGATGTAGATAAGAACAACTGAACAGAGCCTTGCTGAAATTGGCTCGAAGCTTCTCCTTTTTACATCCATTTATGGGACCATCTGTCAGCCGAAGCCAGGATCTGATTGGCTGGGGAAACGAAGGGAGGCGTTGCAACATCAGGTGCTATTTAAATTAGCTACTGCCAGATTGACGATGTTAATGATTTGGTGACCTCTACAACAACAGAGACCAGATTTCTGAACTGCTTCTTGTGTCTGGTAATTAAGGCCAGGCTGAAGCAACAACAGCCATGCTTGTATTTTTACCTTTTCCCTCCTCCTAGCTCAAAAGTAATGTAACAACTGCAGGTCACCGGCCGGCTGCTTACAAACCTTACTAGTGGGAGTGTCCTCCCTTTCCCCTGTCCTGAAGACTGCACCACCAAACCCCTTTGACAGTACAGCATATTTCCAGTATAGCATATTTTCAGCCACCTTATCTTTCTCGACAGTTGCTTTCTAGCGAAATGCATATTTAATGATCTGCCTCTAGGCTTAAAGATACAACAAAAGCACTTTAATGTGCTAATACATCTACATTTTAACTTTATTATTTCCTAATATTGCTTTTTTAGTAAGCAATGCTCCTTCTGCAGCTACCATGGCCAGCGTTTCAAGAGACAGCAAGTTTGAGATTGTGTTTGCTCTGCGAACTGGGTTCCTACAAGTTTGCTTCAGAAAACTACTTCTTAATAAACAACAACAAAAAAAAAAAACAGAGGGATATGGGGGCAGCTGTCAGCCTCTACCTTTCTGCCTTCTGTCTGAGCTTTTCAAAACAAAGAATGATGAATGATTTATTTAAATGAATTTATTTCTCAACTTGGATAGGGGCATGATCTGAATTTTTAAAATCCACTAAAACACATTTTTTTCTTTGCTTCCCCACTGCTATAAAGAATGGTAAAGCATGCTTTTGACAACAGCATCATTTCATGACCAGTGCAGAGTGCTCATCTTGCTGGACTGAACATGTGATTTTGCTTCTGTCTTTCAAAAGATGTCTTTTTTCTTTGGCCTCTTAAAAGACTTGAAAAGAGACATTTAGCAAGGGAGCGGTGATGTATAGTTTGTCCACCTATGTTATACATTTCATAACCTCCCCGATACCAGTCTTCAGTAGTATAGTAATTTGTCCTGGTTTGGGTTTTAAAGTGGCTTACCTGAGGAGTTTTTGCTTTACTTCTATCCAAAAAGCTAACTTATTGCTATTTTTTTAACTCATAATTTAGTCAATTTGTTCCTCAACGAACACGTAGAGGTAACAAATACTACTAAAGAAATATTTCAACGTAATTTTAAGTCTTTGGCTGGAGTTGACAGTGAGATAGGACTGGGCAGTATAGAAATATAGACTGAAAATCATGCCACACTCTGGGCTTCAAGTCCAAGAATATACGTATCTGTGAAAAATGATTAGGAAAGAAAATGACCTTTACATTAAAAAAAAAAAAAAATTAAAACTATTCTCTCCCAGCTACTATTTCACGAACACACACACACAAATATACATAGATATGCACGCTTTTAAAAATACAGATACACCACAAAACAATATGTGTTGGGTACACTATGTGGAGAACTAGACTTGAATATAAATACATTCAGCTGTTAGAAATAACAATCCATGAAATAGAAAAGTAGAAATGTTAAAACTATAACCCCTTCAAGTGGAACAAGACTGAATTAAGTAAACTTTTAAAATAATTTCTCCAGCAAATATGTAAAAGTCCTACAAGTCACAATAATACTACAGTATCTGTTGAACTGTGTTCTAGGGACGAATTCAGAGGTTAAGTGTTCTAAAGAGCTCAACATACAGACACAGTGCAGGTACAGGTGCCCCAAATCAGTAACAGAAACTCTGAGTGTGAGCTCCCCATTACAGAAATATTGTGAGAAGAAAACCATGAACACAATGCTGACAAACACATAAATGAAAACAGCTCGCTCCAGAAGAAAATATTTACTTTGTACTTCTCTGGAGGTTAGAAATGTCAGAATTTCTTAAAACCATTCTCCCCCACCCACACTAATCTCAGCATTACTTAGTGAGCCATTAATTACCATTAGGTATATCAAAAGATGTTCTGGCCACTCTTCTGAAACAGAAACTATGTATTACAGTATAAATAATTAGCTAGTTTTGCCAGGTTAAAAAAAATCCATGCACTTTGTATATTGATCACTTCTCCAAAAAACCACTCTAAAGTCTTTCAACGGAATCCTCAAACAAATGCACAAATGTCCTCAGAGGCCTTTTCTCTAAAGACAAAGGCAGAATCCTATTGTTGGGAAAAGTCAACCTTATTATTGCATTTCCAATAGTACCATTCATCTTTCAGAGTGAGGGGCTGACCGCTCCATCAGTGGTGTGACATTTGTAAAGCAACAGATTCTCAATATATTATCTCAAGAATCAGACAGGCGAGTCTCCCAGTCATGCATGATTTTTTTTTTCTTTCTGCCACAATCCTCCACCACCACAGAAAGAAACTTGTCTCACTCAGGCAGCTCAGGCAACCTAAAAATGATATCCCAGAGCTGTGGGGCTGCTAGCGCCGCTGTATCCCTCTTACCATAAATGAGCAGTTTCTTGACTCATTAATAACAATTTCCCTTAAAAAAAGGAATCTCATATCACTCAGCCCCTTGCCACCATGCACACATCCCAAAGGTTGCGGACATGTCAGCATCAGTCGCCGGCAGCCAGCTTTCCCACACAGGGTCCAGATGGACTGTACCAGAAGCCAATTCAGCGTTAATAACTACCTACTCCGCGCAGTGGAGAAGCCTTACGTGGCACAATGGGCTAGGAAACAGCAGCCGGCTGAAACTGCAAATAAAGAAGACAAACCAAATTCTCCAAAAACACCAAAAGGATGGAACAGAAAGGGAAGCGTGAACTGTATTCCTTGACTTCCTTGAGAAGAAAAAGAAAAAAAAAAGAGAAAAAAAAAGAAAAAAAGAAAAAAGAAAAAGAATCCTTCATAAACATAGGGGGGAAAAAGGGGGGGGGGGGGTGGAAAACAGATGCTGCCCAGAAAAAAGTGACAAAATATTACCTCATTATTTAACAAAGCAGCATTAAGCGTCCTGCTGATTTCAAACATCTTGCCACAGATTTTGTTTTAAGAGAAACAGATAGAATCCTTTGCAAAGCACTCCGTCTGCAAAGGGTTCTTCAATTTTCTTGCGCGCCACGGAACAGTCAATATATTATTTCCCTAGAGTTCGCACATTAAAACCTCTAGTTAGTGAGCTGAATTTTCCCCTTATCTCACACACAGTAGACTCCTGTTATATGTACTGCTCTCTTTGCAAGAGCAGCCTGCCCCAAACATGGCTGGTGTTTAAACTACTCTTTAAAGTAACAGTTCACTATATAACCACCAGGTGGGTAGAGTGCACAGATTCAAATGAACCATCTTAAAGGATTGTGTTGTTGTTTTTTTCCCCCCTTTTAGGTGTAGAATGTAACATGAGAAACGCCAGCATCCTAACAGGCATCGTGTCTTGTATCTCTCTGTATCTTGTCAAAATAAATAAATAAAATTCCTTCTCCTGACTTATAGCAAGGAAACAAAACACCATCACCAATTCTAATAAGAACTGTGAAGAATGAAACACAAACATGCTTTGTTTCTTTCAGCAAAGGATGAACAAGGAAAATCCAATCAACACAGAGCAAGGCAGGGGGGTGGGGGTACCAAAAACTCCATGGAAATATTTTCCTTTAGCAAAAAGAGAAAAATACCGACTCATGTGATAAAAACCTAATTCAAAAGTAAACATACAGACGAAGCACATTCAAAATGGAGGCAAGAGTTTAAGGGTGTAACTTTTCTCCTGAGTAAAGCGTTAGGTTTATTTGATAGGGTCTTTCATGATAGGAAATAACTCAACAGCTTTTTAAACATAAAGACACTGAAAACAAAAACAAAAGCATAATCTTAAGCATCTCTTTTAAAAATACAATTATGTGAATAGCTATAAACAACCACAAGAGCAAAGTAATCATATATCTCTCCCCAGTCCTGTTCTTTTTCCTTAAGATCTGCCTCAAAGTGGAACATTTCTGTCCTGTGTTATTTTGGGTATAAAGCTAACTTAGTGTCTCCTTTGTACAATTCTATTCCAATTAATCTGCCTCTTGCTAGGAATAAATAGAATGTCCCAAGCTGAAAGCCCCAAGTGATGGAGGGTGGATGTTCAAAGATAAAGAACCACCTGGACAAAAATAAATCTCATCACTTACATTGTTCTATGGCCTGATTTTAAGGAGGATTTTATTACAGAGCGTGCATTCACTATTCTATGTTCCCTCGTATCTAAAAGAGAAACCAACACACAGATACCTGGGATTTTGTTTTCTTGGCTGGACAAAATTAAAGCCCTGGAACTTCTATATCCTCTTGCAAACACAGATGTCAATACTAGTATTTTTCCAGCCCATCCAGGCAATATTTAGCCACACACAACAGTGACTGTCTCCTTCATCTTTAAGTCAAGGCTGCATCACTTAATACCATTTAACCTCCTCGCATATATTAAGTTTCAAGTGACAATTTTTAACTGGGGAATGAGAAGGAGGAGTTGCTCTCATCAAATTCTGGTTGTATGAAATAAGCTAATTTGTACACTCACCATATGTCTTAAACACTAATTAAAAAATGTCACTTTCTTCAAACATTAAAATGTAATCAGCCTAGTAAATAAAATATTCTTGAGTTTTCTTGCCTTGGTGATAATTTAAAGAGTTTATCTTAAGGTAACCTCTCTATTTTGATTACCAAGAAAGGTTTTTTATTCGAAAAGGGAAAAAAAAAAAACCCAAGATATTGGGGGCTTGGGGAGCGAGAAGAGAAAACCACAACTGTATGTAGCTGCACAAAGGAGAATAAGATGAAGCAGGGTTTTAAGGACCATAGTCTTGTTACCCTAAGGCAAATCCAGCCAATCAATACCACCCATTGACGGTCTACCATCTGCCATGCTACCCAGCAATGTAGCTAAACAGACCTGTTCCATATGACCGTAGCCGGCTCATTTTCAGTCGATTAGGGTAGTTCCAGAGCATTCACGTGCAATAGCACAAAACTCCAAGTCTGACTGAGCCTCTCCCTTCACACCAGTCCCTCCCCAGCACAGCTGCAGACATTTTCCTCCTGTTCGGGGTGTCTGGATTATCTCTTCTTGCCCCTCAATGGAATTAGCAAAATAGGGTAGGAAGGTAGAGCAAACACACACACACACACGCGCGTGCACACAGAGATAATTGCTGGCCCTTCTTCAATGTCATGCAGAAATCGGGAATTTCATGTGTTCTGCCCTAATATGATTATGGCACACCATTTAAATAGCGTCATCAGTGTCTATGACCTGACATTTTCCTGTAGTGCTATTTCTTTTTATCTTCTCCCTCTTCCCTTGAAAACTAAACTGAAACTGCTGGCATTTCTTCCTTTAGAGAAAATATAATCAGTATGCCCATACATTGGTATACTCATTTAAGTGCTTTTGATAAAACTTAAAATCTAATTTTCCTTTGACAAATTGTGGTATTTTTTTTCCTATGAAAAACATTAAATCAAATTTTATAGGAAAATGCAAACATACCACAGAGGCAAAAAAGATGCACCATACTGACACAGAGCCTATCAGAAGGATCAGGAATTCACTGTCGAGGTTCTCTTAGAGATATATGACCTGACCATATGATGCTTTTCTCTTTCCTAAGTAGTTTCATCCACTATGGATTGTGGGAAAGAGCTATAAGAATGCTACTGTGTGGGAAAATGTGACAAATGGATGTCTAGTCCACTTAAATTGACAAGAGTTCACCTGTGCAGGTAAAATAACCACCAGGTTGATTCATACTTGATCTTCCTGTTTTCTTTCCATGCTCCTAAGCCTTACACTAGAACAGCAGCTGAAAGCAGAAGGTTTCTTTCTTGAATCAATGTACATTTTGTCAAAAGTGCCTTTGACTATACCCTTAAAACACTAGGATGTCTTTCTGGGAAAGGAAATTTAAAGGACAGGAAAACTGCCTGACTTACAAAATTCTGAAAAAAGTAAAAAGTAAATACACATTTATAAAAAAAAAAAAAAAAGACAAACTAATTTAGGTGGAGTCCCTGTCTGGAATTTTCAGTGTTATATTCTTCATCACAGCATAAGAAAATTCAGCAGGGTCAATGTGTAAACACACCAAGATTTCTGAAGATCCCTGCATTAAGGGATTGGGGCCTTTCCATTTCAGTTCAGATAAGCTTCACTAAAAATTAAAAAAAGAGAGAAACAAACAAAAAACCCAAGATAAATATAAATCTTTACAAATCAAATGCCACTGAGCAGATAAATACAGAGTAGCCATACCATCAAAGGATACAGTGTTTATCCAGATTAATACAGTCTTGAAAATAATTCATTGTAGAGTTTTTAAAAAGATTTTATTTATTTATTAGAGAGAGAGGCAGCATGAGAGAGAGAGACAGAGAGAGAGAACAACAAGCAGGGAGTCAGTGGGGAAGGACAGATGGAGAGGGAGAAGCAGGCTCCTTGCTGAGCAAGGAGCCCAATTATGTGGAGCTTGATCCCAGGATTCCAGGATCATGACCTGAGCCTAAGACAGACACTTAACCGACTGAGCCACCCAGGCACCCCTCAACATAGAGTTAAAAAAAAAAACAAAAAAAAACTCTTGTACTCATTTATAATTCTGTAACTATAAATAAAGAAATAGATGTATAGTATTGTAAAAAGCAAGGAATTTGTGGAAGGAGGAGGAGGAGAAGGAAGGAAAGATAAAGGGGAGGGGAGGAGAGTGAGGAGAAAAAGAAATAAACAATAGGACTTACAACAAAGTACAAATAAAAACTGCTATTTTTTTTTTTAACCAAGAGTCTATTGTATGCTGAACACTACAGTAGGCAGTTGACATGCACAATCTCACACGACATCATAGTGGTGACAAAGGTTATAATGGAAGCATTCTTCTAGAAAGATGGTTTCCTCATCTAAGAGTAAGATCTCCCCTCCATCATTTCATAGAAGAATACGCTTAGTAAATATTTGTTGAACGAATGAGGAAGATGGGTACAGACTAGAAGAGAAAGAAAAAGATTTTTTTTTCTCATCTGAAAGTGACCAAGAGTTTTCTTTGTGAGGTGCTTCTAACTAAGCATGTCCTCAAAATGTATTTCATTTAATCTTTCATTTCAACCAGGCTATACATTTGAAGTGAGAGAGACACAAAGGATTAAAGCTGGAAAGCAAAAAACTCTTAGCGGGTAGTATGAGTACCTGGCTAAGTCTTCATTTCCTACTTTTTCCAAACCTGGCAAAACTCCTTATGTAGAGTAGCTCAGCAAACAATGGTTGGATGAACTTCTATGTCTTTAGCCCCTTACAGGACACAGCCTGGCTCCAGACAACACTCAATTATGAGCAAGGAATAAAGATAAACAATTCCATTTAAATCACCTCAAGAACTATCCTAAGGCCTAGTTCATGTGATGCAACTAGGGGGCGCTGAACCCATTTTAAGGGAAAAGATATGTTGGCTCCCTAAGTCTCAGTTTCCTCATCTGTAAAGTGGGCACAATAATACACCTCAAGGTTTGTTGCCAGGATTAAAACAGATACAGGCTTGATGGAGGCAGTGCTCTAAATGGTACCTATTATTATTAAT